GGAATTCTGGGAGTTGAAGTCCAGACATCTTCAAGTTACCAAGGTTGAGAAACACTGCCCTAGTGTCTCCAACCTTGGCAACTTTACGACTTGCGGAACTTCAACTCCCAGAATTCCTCAGCCAGCAAAGTTGTCAACTTTGGCAATTTTACCACTTTGCGGACTTCCAATTCCCAGAATTCTGGGAGTTGAAGTTCCACAAGTCGTAAAGTTGCCAAGGTTGGAGACCCCTGACCTAGACTCGTGTTAGAGGGCGGAGGGAGAGAGAGAGAGAGAGAGAGAGAGAGATTGCAGGAGGGTGGAGGAAGGATCAGAGAGGGATCTGACCCTCCAAGGCCAAGACTCACCCTGCCTCTGGCTCCTCCCACTACCCGGCTTTTATTTACATATCGACAAAGACCATGAAGCACCAGCCCAGCCCGCCCACCAGCAGCATGGTGACATGAATGGCATAGACGAGCAGCTCGTTGAGCAGGCTAAAGTCCACGCGCCGCCTTCCCATCAGCAGCAGGGTGATAGAGAGTTTGTACTGGAAGCGGAGGAAGAAACGGATGCCCAGGTACTGGATGCAAAACAAGACCGCCAGCGCCACCCAGAGGACGGAGGTGAACAGGCTGCAGCTGAAGTACAGCAGGAAGCGGATCACCCCGTACATCCAGCGGGACTTCAGGTAGATGTCAAAGTTGTTGTACTTGGTGCGCACCAGGGGGGCGGTCCGGACCGGCCCGCAGGCCGAGTGCAGGCAGGTCGTGTGGGGCCCGTGGAAAGACCGAACCCGCCGTGGGATAGGGATGACAGGCATCGGGCAGCCCGGCTTTTTAGACAACCGGAGAGCCAGGCTGGCAGCGGGCGGCCCCGGCAGCTTCCGTGAAGATGGGAGGGGAGGCCAGCGAGCCAGGAGGGTGGACACGGCCCAGACGTGCCGAGGCGGAAGCTGCCTGCAGGAAGGAAGAGAAGGAGAGCGAGGTTGAGGAAAAGGGAGAAGAAGAAGGACAGCCGGCTCCGAGCGGAAGACGCGCCCCCGATAACTCTCCGCGGGGCCACCAGGCACTGGATCCAACCAACCTTTACTGGGATTTGGAAGGTCACGATGGATGCAGTGATGCATTGGCTCAAAAGTCTAGACCCGTGATGGCACGCGTGGCATCGCCCGTTCCTCCTCTGGGTTTCTGGCATGCATGCACGCGTGATGATCAGCTGTTTTCTGTGCACGCAGCAGTCCCGGAAACCGGAAGAGCTGGTCTTCTGGTTTCCGTTATGCGCATGTGCTCCAGCCAGCTGATCATGGTGCACATGAGCGCCAGTAACCAGAAGACAAGGCGGTCAGTGCCCAGGCTTGTGCTGGAAACCAGAAGTTCATTTCCCAGCACGCGCTTGCCCACTTGGCAGCTTCTCTCCCTGACGAGCGCGCACTCCCTTTTCAGCACTTGGTGCCAAAGAGGTTCGCCATCAATGGTCTAGACCAAACTTGGCAACTTTAAAGACTTGTGGGCTTCGATTCCCAGAACTCCTCAGCCAGCCACGCTTGAGGTTGTCAAGTTTGGAGGCCACCGTTCAAGAGCAAAGGGCCACAGGAACCGGCTGGAGGGGAATCAGTGAAGACCAGAGGTTACAGAACTCTTTAAAAGTCAGGAAAAGGAAGATGGAAGCACAAGTTAAGGAAGCCACTGGTTAAAGACTAAATCACCCCCTGGTGGGGCTGGGAGGACCAGCAAAAGTTTCGGGAGGAAAAATATGAACGGTGCCATCTTGGGGGCGGGGGGGGTGGGTCAGAAAAAGACGTGTGCAATTGGAAGGAAGAGATGGGAGTGAAGGTGGAAGGTGGTCCCTCCCTTT